ATGGAGGGGAGTTATGGGGGGGGGAAGAGGAACAACTGTAATAATCTGATCAATAAAGATTTATTTTTTTTTTAAAAAGGAAGACAAACAATCCAATTAAAAAAAATGGGCAAAGAACCTAAATAGATCCTTCTCCAAAGCGGACTTACAGATGGCCAAGAGACATGAAAAAATGCTCAGTGTCGCTGAACAGAAACATGCAAATTAAAACAACAATGAGGTATCACCCCATACCAATCAGAATGGCTACCGTCAGCAAATGACAAATGCTGGAGGATGTGGGGAAAAGGGAACCCTCAAACACTGCTGGTGGGAATGCAGATGGGTGGGGCGGGGAGCACATCTATGATACTCTCAATCAAGGTTAAAAAATAACCCTCAAAAAAATTAAGTATAGAACTGCCATTTGACCCAGTGATCCCACTTACAGGGATATATACTAAGAAACCTGAAACACCATTCAGAAAGAATATATGCACCCCTATGTTCATAGCAGCACAATTTACAATAGCTAAGATCTAGAAATAGCCCAAGTGCCCATCAGTAGACACGCTGGGTAAAAAAAGCTGTGGTACAAGTACACCAAGCATGTCAAACTCGCGGCCCACAGGCTTCATGCAGCCCACAATGAATATTTTTGCAACCCACCCAATATAATTGTATGTAAGAAACATTTTAATAAAAATTTCATAACTTAGTTTTTACAATATCCTGTTATACATAATTACTAATAACGAACTACATTTGCTAATGACTGATTACTATAATCATCTTGCATTCATTTCCCTTACGCACCTTACATGCAGGTGCATAAGGGAATGTGTTAACAACCTGACTGTCATAAACCAGAAGGGACCTGAAAAATAACTGTTGGGATATTTGTCTAATACCAGCATAACTGGCTCATAATTAACTGTGACTACTATTCTTTTTTGTAAGCTGTAGCTGAATAGCGGAATTATTTAAGCTTTTCTGGAAGAACTTATGTTTCAGTTAAGAATAAAGTTCAGCAATATATATGAACACATCTGTGTTCCTAAAAAGCATATTTTATATAAATATACATATCCTCCTATATAATAAAAGGCTAATATGCAAAACGACCTAATGGCAGAATGACCAGTTGCTGTGACACACACTGACCACCAAGGGGCAGATGCTCAATGTAGGAGCTGCCCCCTGGTGGTCAGTGCACTCCCACAAGGATAGGGCCACTCAGCCAGAAGCCGGGCTCACAGCTGGCGAGCCTCTCCCACCTCCGCAGCAGCACTAAGGATATCTGACTGCTGGCTTAGGCCCGCTCCCCGTCAGTCGGACATCCCCTGTGGGCTCCCAGGCTGCGAAGAAGGGCACAGACTGGGCTGAGGGGACCCCCCTCCCAGCCCAAGTGCACGAATTTTGTGCACGAGGCCTCTAGTGTGTGTGTGTGTGTGTGTGTGTGTGTGTGTGTGTGTGTGTATTTTATTTTATTTTATTTTTACTTCAGAGAGGAAGGGAAAGATAGAAACATCAATGATGGGAGAGAATCATCGATGGGCTGCCTCCCGCACACCCCACACTGAGGATTGAGCCCACAACCGGGGCATGTGCCCCTGACTGGAATTGAACCTGGGACCCTTCAGTCTGTAGGCCGATGCTCTATCCACTGAACCAAACCAGCCAGGGCAAGCATAATTTTTATGTATTCAACATAATCTATGATTGTGCTTTGTATATTGATAATTTAAAAAATGTGAAATTGCTACAAGATTCTCAAACTTAACCTCTCTGTGACATTTTAAAAATAGGAATCTAATTTTAAAGTGTCCCATTTTGAGTAATAAAGCCTGATGTTTCTTCATTTTATTTTATATTCATACTTAGTGTTTTTAAATATAACTTTATTTTCCTTGTAGTATATGCAGAGAATATTTTCAAAATGGTGGAAAGAGAAAAGCACTTGAAAAAGATAAAAAAAGAGCTGTACTTGCCACCAAGACCACTCCAGCCTTAAATACACATGAACAGTCTAAACTTGAAGGTCATTTAACCAACCTCAACTTTACAAATTCTGAAATTATAACTGAGTAAGTATACTTTTTCTACTTCAATTGCTAACATTATCCTGGGTAGCTGTGTTAATAATGTAAAATATTGTGATGATTTACACCAAATAGTGGGCAGTATGCTTCCTCCACTAGTAATATATTAAGCTGAGAAGTACAGATTTGTAATATTACTAGGTAGAAAACTGGCATAAAATTGTAAGGGATATCTGAAAAACTAATGACTCTATAACATAGGTTGTCTTCACCAAAAATGAGAAACACTAGTTTATTAAATATTATAATAATTATGCTTATGGTAATACAGAAAGTCAAAACAGGAAAATCCAATTAAGTTATGTTTAAATTTGCTGTCTACTAAAAAATCACAAGGAATAATGAAAGATTACTAATAATATGCTGATTAGCCAATGGGAAGGGTAGCGGTCGTATGCTAATTACCATGTTTCTCTTTAATTAGTGTAGATGCTTATGGTAATACAGAAAGTCAAAACAGGAAAATCCAATTAAGTTATGTTTAAATTTGCTGTCTACTAAAAAATCACAAGGAATAATGAAAGATTACTAATAGAACCAATTGTGATTATTTTACAGTTCATAGGAAAATCTGGTAGTAATCAATGTATGCATAGAGGTACAAATTTGATTTAATAAGTACATGAGTGGTTTTCTAGTTTTATTGTGATATAATTGACATATTATATAAGTACTGGAGGCCTAGTGCACGAGGCCGGCCCTCCCTGATCAGGGTGGGGGTGGCTAATCAAGGGTGGGGCCAGCCGGGGGGAGGCACCAAGGGCAGTTGGCCAACTGGCCCTACCCCCAATCATGGTTGGGGGGGTAATTGGGAGCGGGGCCGGCCAGGGGGAGAGGCCGTGGGCAGTTGGTCAGCCTGCCCCGCCCCCTGGTCGGTCTCCCAGTCAAGGGGACAATTTGCATGTTAGCCTTTTATTATATAGGATAAGGTGTATGACATAATGGCTATAATAATAAAAGCATAATATGCAAATTAACCAATCGGCCATCCAGACGTCCTTCAGGATGACCTTCCACATGAAGCCAGGGCTACAGCTACAGGATCAAGGCAGCTGCCCTGGCTGTGAGGGCAGGATCGAGGCAGCCGCCAAGGCTGTGAAGGCCTACTCTTGCACAAATTTCCTGCATCGGGTGTGTGTGTGTGTGTGTAAAGAGAGAGAGAGAAATGATTGCCACAATAAGTTTAATTAACACCCATCACTTGAAATAGTTAACATTCCTCAACTCACATAATTTTAAATGTGTTTCATATGATGAGAACTTTTAAGGACTACTGTCTTAGCAGCTTTCAAATATGTAGTACTTGTTAACTATAGTCATGTTGTACATTACATCCCCAGAACTTACTTACCTTTATAACTGAAAGTTTGTACCTTTTACCACCTGTCCCCTACATCCTCCACCCCCTTCCCCATGCATCCACTAATCTGATCTCTGTTTCTTTGAGATTAATATTTTTAGATCCCACATAGAAGTAAGATCATACAGTATTTGTCTTTCTCTGTCTGACTTACTTCACTTATCATAATGCCTTCAAGGTTCATCCATGTGGTCACAAATGTAGGATATTCATCTTTTCAATGGCTAAATAGTACTCTATTGAGTATATATGTATATATATATGTAAGTACATGAGTATTCTGATCCAGTTAATTATTAGTAGTGTAATAATTATTTAAACACTCTAGTATGGGAATACATTTGTAGTTTCAAGTTATATTTTATTAATCTCTTGAAGATGCAAAACTTGAGTAATTCTAGAAATATTCTTGGTAGACACTGAAAGATAATCATGAAAATAAAGTACCCTCTTAAAATAGTTTGAAATCTGTATATATTAACAAAATAGCCTTTGGTTATTTTGATTTTACACAATTTGAAAATATTATTTAGTTAAAAGCAACTGTATTGAAAAATTAACATACCTTTTATAGGTTCAGTAGGAAGATAACACATCTTTACCTTTATTTACAAAGCTTACATAGCATAAAAACTAACTGAACATCCTATAATTCAGGCATGATGAATATTTATAAATGTTGACCAGTGTAAGAAATTATAGTTATATTGGTTAAAAAATTGATAAATATAGAAAATGTCAACCCTAGAATTTCTTTTTTTTAAGTGTTACAAACAGCATAAAATTTATTAAATTTGTTTTTAAAAAGATTACATGCAGAGTTCTCATATTCACAGAAGACAGCTTTTATTTCAATATTTATTGTTGACAGTATTACAGATTTCCTCATTTCCCCCTCACTTACCCCACTCCACCCAGCCCCCACCACACCACAGGCCTTCCCCACACTATTATCAATATACATGGGTTATGCATATATGTTCTTTGGTTAATCTCTTTCTGTACCCTCCACCACTTCCCCTCTGAGGTATGTCAGTCTGTTCCATGAATCCATGCCTCTGCACCCATTTTGTTTGTCGGTTTATTTTGTTTCTCTTCCGCTAGGCATTGTATCAGTGAAAATTTTGCAACATGATATGTTTGATATTTTGCTGCCTATGATTTCTTCAAGGATTTTTATGGTTTCATAATTTACATTTAAATCTTTTATCCATTTTGAGTTTATTCTTGTGTATGGTGTAAGTTGGAAGTCTAGTTTCATATCATTACATATAGTTGTCCAATTATCCCAACACCATTTATTGAATAGACTGTCTTTACTCCATTGTATGCTCTTGCCTCTTTTATTGAAGATTATTGAGCATAATGGCTTGGGTCGATTTCTGGGTTCTCTGTTCTGTTCCATTGATTTATATGTCTGTTCTTGTGCCAGTACCAGGCTATTTTGATTACAGTGGCTTTGTAGTATAGCTTGATAACTGGTGTTGTGATCCCTCTAACTTTGTTCTTCTTTCTTAGGATTGCTGTGGTTGTTTGGGGTCTTTTTGTTTCCATATAAATTTTTGGAATGTTTGTTCTAGATTTGTGAAATATGCCGTTGGTATTTTAATAGGGACTGCGTTAAATCTATAGATTGCTTTGGGTAGTATGGACATTTTAATTATGTTAATGCTACCTCTCCATGAACACGGTATATTCTTCCACTTGTTTAGATTCTCTTCTATCTCTCTATTAATGTTCTATAGTTTTCCAAGTACAGATCTTTTTACCTCCTTGGTTAAGTGATTCCATTATTTTTTTAAACATTTTATTGGTAATGACAGTAGATGTTGTATATAATGATTTTCAATTTAGGATATTTGTCTGTCTAGTTTTGTTGTTTTCTTTTAGGATAATTTCATTGGAATTGAATAATTATTTTAAAAACTTTTCTTAAACCTAGAATAGATTATATCATTAGAATAGAATTTGCAATGCATAGTTTTATTTATTTCTTTTTAAATATGGTTTTTCATTGATTTTTAGAGAAGAGAAGAAAGAGGGAGAGAAAAATCATTGAGAGATATATAATCATTGATAGGCTGCCTCCCACATGCCCCAACCCACTGGGATTGAGTCAGCCACTAGGAATGTGCCTTGACTGGGAATCCTACCCACAACCCCTCAGTGCATGGGACAATTGCCCAACCGAGCCACACCGACCAGGGCCAACATAGAATTTTAAAAGTTTTCAATGGATTTGATTATTTACTTAATATTGCAGAACTCTCTACTGCACATTCATTTTTCAGATTCCTTCTTTTATAAATGTTATAAAATGGCCACAGTGGCTCGTGCTTGAGCTTCGACCTATGAACCGAAGGTCTAGGTTCAATTCCTGGTCTGGACACATGCCTGGGTTGCAGGCTCTATTCCCAGTGGGGTGTGTGTAGGAGGCAGCCGATCAATTGTTCTATCTCAACATTGATATTTCTATCTCTCTCTCCCTCTCCCTTCCTCTCTGAAATCAATAAAAATATATTTAAAGAAATAAAAATGTTATAAAAAGAACTTTACCTTTGATTTTAATTTATTGGGGTAACATTAGTTATATACAGCATAAAAGATTCAGGGGTACAACTTTGTAATACATTACCTGTATATTCCATTGTGTACTCACTACCCAAAATCTGATCTATTTTCATCACCATATACAGGGTAAAGCCACAGTAGGTTTACAGTTATGAATACATAAAACAAAAAATTTATTCTTGTATTATTTATTAACTAGAGGCCCAGTACACAAAATTCGTGTGTGGGTAGGGTCCCTAGGCCTGGCCGGCGATAAGGGCCGATCGGTGGGGCAACTGGCGGGGCGATCGGGG